AATATGAAGTACAACCCATACACATCCCGTGAAGTTTTTGCATGACATTTAATATTGGCTAAAGGCTAAAACTCCAGGAGCTAAATATAGCTTACATCCATGTGATCATTTCAGTTCTTCCATGGGATTTTTACCCACGATTTCATAAGACAAGAGTTGAAAAGCCTCTGCCTGTAGGGAATGAAACCGATTCAGATAAATTGTCTGGGTTTCCTGAGCCCTGGCACCCGGGTTTGCCCGTGATTCTGACAGCCCGGCCTCCTGGTGCTTGGAGCACCGGAGGTAGCCCTAAGGACTTATTTTAATGTGTAGAAAGATTGGGGCTATGTCATTCTTACAGTAATTCTTGTCCCCTTTTCTAAGAGGAAACCTGGCTTCTTCCCAAGTGCACAAGGCAAAAAGGCTTTTATCGTGTGGAGTGTTGAGACTGTTTCATTGCAGTGGCTGCTATTTGCTACAAAAGAAAATGGGATGCATGCAAAAGATGCATGCGTTTCTTCGTAGCTTAGACGCTGCACAAAGGTAATGCAAAATCCCTTACTCTGACTAATGTCCAAATTTCAGCCATAATTCTCTATGTGTGCCCTCTTCTTGTTTTGGGAATTATTTCTTCCATTTTCCTATGACCCTTTCAAGAACAAAATCTACATGCAATGCAAGCAGACGTGCAAGTACAAAAGTTGTGGATTTTACTGGTGATGAAAATTCCAAGGTGTCCTGACACTTCTTTCAGACACAAACCACTTATTTTCTTTTTTAAAATGCAATTACGACCAGAAATGCTTCCTGAGGTTTTCTGAGTTAAAAAAAAAAAAAGAATGGAAGAACCTTTGTGATCAATACTCAGTAGACTACAAGTGCTTTTGTAGCAACCTCTCCATCAGGAAAGGCCATCAAATAATTTAGTTCTTTACAGCCACCAAAGAAACCCAAATCTGAAAAACTCTTTCATCCTACATAGGCCTCTACTTCCAGCCCTCTTGTCCAGTGAGATTTGTGTCCTTCCTTGAGATGCGCTCTGCTCTGATACAGCACAACCCCAAGACCAGGTTTTTGGAGCTCAAAGACTCGAACCTTTCCTTTATAACCTGAACTGGGCACATTTTCATTACTGGCTAAAAGCACTACATTAAGGTGTATATAAGACCAAATCTTTTTCCAGAGCTGCAGTTAGTGCTTTCTCCCTCAATGCTAATTATTTTGAAATATATTCTTTTCTACTAAAACTGGGAAAGAAAGTCTATGGGAAAATAACATAGCCATAATTTGTCCTGTGTGTTGAGTAATTATGATCTCTGGCCATTAGAAAAAAAAAAAATTGATTTCATAAGTAGGCGATCAGAAATTGATTCGTGTCATTAAAAAAAAAAAAAAAGAAGTAGGAAGTAGTATAAAATTGCTATAGGCAGTGTGCGATTTATTCAGATTTTGGATCAGGTGTATGGCATCTATTTCTTGTTTCTGATTGACTGTCTGGTCAGTTAACTACGTAATACAGTTATTTGCTTACTCAGCTGGTGTATTTCACTTTTGCAGAAATAAAAGTACTTTTTTTTCCCTAAAATGATGATTAATAAATATAAATTTTACTATAGGTATGCTGATATAGAGAAGATGAGTCTTTCCAGAAATGCTACTAACTTTACTTTTTTATCAAAAATAAGATCGTAGAATTTTTTGTAACGGTTTGGATTAGTCTACCAAGAAAACCAGTAAGAAATCAAAATAGCATGGACCAGAATTAAGTGATTGTCCTTGATGATAGAGTGCTGGGTGGTATGGATATAATTGGGGGACATGATCTGGGGTGGGAGTCGCTCTTTGCAGGCACCCAGATTGAGCTGCTCTGCATGCCAGATAAATGAACCACTTATTTACTCAGTGGATTGGAGACTGCTCTTTTTCTAGCAGGAATCTAGGTCCCAGCCCTGTTGAAGTGGCATCCACATAATTCCTAGCATGGTCTAGGTGGCAGCTGCATAGTTCCTGCAACACCGGGATGATGTATTTGAACACCGTGCCATATTACTGTTGCTGGATGATGCCATCTGGGCAGAATGGATTTAAGGCTATGAAGAAAACTACTTTGAATGGAATAGGAAAGAGCATTAAAGAACAAGAAATAGGGAAGAATATGATGCCATCTGATTATATATTCACACTATTTTCTGTATTAATTTTGAATGTTTGTCTTTCTGTGGGATGAAATTGTTATGTTTGCTATTCTTCCTGAGCCTAAATCCTACTACTTTCACCTCTAGTGAAAAGAACAAGTACACAAAGTTTTTCATGGTAGTTGTTTTTTTGTCGTTTCAGAGACTTTGGTCTCAGCACAGTTAGAAAAATAATTAATGTATTATGTTAGAATCAGATCTGATGACATGCATGTGCAGGTAGAAATGCTATGTTCACATTGTAGACCCTTAATATTGCCTTATAATTCGTACTGAGATTGGAAGAATCAGTCATAAGGTACATTATCTTTCCTATTTTGTGAAGAGTTTCATGAGCCTAGAAATAATTTCACACAGTGAAACAGCCTATTTTTAGACAAAAGATCCCCTGAAATGTCTGTGAACACTATACTAATAAAGCGCGCAGCATGGAACACACAAAGATGGGAAAGGCGAAAAGAATGCTTATGGATTCCTGAGCCAGGAGACCAAAGGCAACACCAAGCTCCTACTTTAACCCAAGCAACAGAGTTGCACTGTGACAGCCATAGTTTGAACTAGTCGGGTTTTTTTGGTTTTTTTTTTTTTTTAGGAAAATATGACTGAATTTGACTTTCACGTGACTGATTATTGAGAATAATAGCCACTGACAAATTATTTTGATGATCATCATCCTTGTCAAAATATGAGCACTTTTAGTATATATTTTCTAGAGTCCCTTTCTAGTGACTCACATCCCCTGACACAAAAACCTAGAGATTGGAATATATCCTGGTTTATCCATCTTTTTAGATATCAGAATATAAAGAGGCCCAGAATATGCAAACTACCTTTCAGAGCTTGCATTAAGGCACTCAGAGAGCAGATCTTTAAACCCTATTTGAAGCTGCTGAAGAACAGAGTATGGGGGATACCTCTTCCCACTGGATATCTGAAATCCAATCTGAGAGGTCCTCATCAGACTTCAAACTGAAATTAACTTTGAGAAATTGGTGGCAGATTTAAAAGGCACCTGGTGCCTGTCTCTATACCTGCATTACCAAACAGCATGCAGTCAGTACTAAAAAGATTCTTTTGTGATTCTGTGGTCTCTGTATGAGCTAAGTGTGTTCAGATGTCCACAGAATATGCTTGGAATTCAGCATTATTCAGATCCAGTTTGAGAGAAGATGATAATGGCTTTGATCTCCATCTACATTAGCACCTAATTACCCAAAAATGTGATGGAGTGATCGAGAAAGCCTCCGGTTTAGGGCTGATGAGCAGCTATGTGATCAACTCAGAGAGTTTACAAAGTCAGCCCACAGCGGCTAGCTTCTTAGTTTTTAAAAGTTTTATTACAATTAATGACGTATAAATACAGGAAAAGTCAGACAGATATGAAACAATATTCATCTTCACTTTGTGTTTTTAGTTACAAAGGGGATATTCTGTACCTAGAGCCGTTTCAGAGACCAGCTATCCAAGTTACTGTAAAAGTTACGATACAGTAGAATTGTTAAGAAAATCGCTAATGATAAATAACGTTTAGAAAGGACTTCTGTGTTGTATTAATCCCTGGGCTATTGATAACAGGTTATTAAGATAAACGTCACTTGTTACGACATGAATTCTTTTACAGTGTAGTGCACTGTAGACGCCTCTCGTTTCTGCTACCGAAAAAAAGAGAAAGATTGAGCGCCATCAAGTGGTAGATGTTGATACAGCAGTTACAACGATGCAATTAGATGCGTTCCCATTAGAATCAATTTTAATTCCCGACTAGAATCTACAGAAGCCGTTTTCTTTCCCTCTGCAAATTGCAACGCATATAACATGAACATACTTTAAACTAGTATTTACGTATTGTATAAAAAAATACATATACCACAAACTGAAGTGTAATAGAAAAATAAATTAAGGAAATAGTATCACCCAAGAAAAAAAATGGGGAAAAAAAATTTACAAAAATTGTATCTACAGTAAGCCGTTTCCTACACAGAGGAAGCATACGTTCCCTGACGAAGAAAATTAGAGAATAATTTACCGAAACTAATCTGATGGTTTTTGCCAGATTTGATTGTACAGCCCTTTTATTGAAGAGATAGGTGGCTCTTAAAAGAGCCTTTGGGTCGAGAGGGTCTGGCACAGGAGGCAGAGGCAGCTTACTTGGAGCTGGTGTACTTGGTGACAGCCTTGGTGCCCTCGGAGACAGCGTGCTTGGCCCGCCCGCGGGGCAGCAGCAGCCGCACGGCCGTCTGGATCTCCCGCGAGGTGATGGTGGAGCGCTTGTTGTAGTGCGCCAGGCGCGAGGCCTCGCCGGCGATGCGCTCGAAGATGTCGTTGACGAAGGAGTTCATGATGCCCATGGCCTTGGACGAGATGCCCGTGTCGGGGTGCACCTGCTTCAGCACCTTGTACACGTAGATGGAGTAGCTCTCCTTGCGGCTCTTCTTGCGCTTCTTGTCGCCCTTCTTCTGCGTCTTGGTCACCGCCTTCTTGGAGCCCTTCTTGGGCGCGGGGGCGGACTTGGCCGGCTCAGGCATCGCAGCAACCGCGTCTCCCTCACAAACCGGAACAACCGCACAGTGAACGGCAGACTACCGGACTGAGATACACCCGCTGCGTGCCACGTATTTATAGATCCCTTATGCAAATAAGGCGTTCCCTCTGCGTGCTCTCATTGGTTAGAAAACACCAAGCGTCTTAACTCTCCTACAGCCGCATTTTATTGGTCAGAATTCAATTCACCTTCTCATTGGCTGTCCACGGGAGACCTAATTTCCAGCCTATCAGCGAAGAGGCGAGGTGGGAAAGCGAGGCTATAGTTGAGGAGCGGTGGCTGGTTGCTCCGTTCTGTTTCTGGTTGCTCTCAGAACCCAGTGAGCAAACAAGGATGTCCGGCCGCGGGAAGCAGGGCGGGAGGCCGCGGGCCAAGGCCAAGTCGCGCTCGTCGCGGGCCGGGCTGCAGTTCCCCGTGGGCCGCGTGCACCGGCTGCTGCGCAAGGGCAACTACGCGGAGCGGGTGGGCGCCGGCGCCCCGGTGTACCTGGCGGCCGTGCTGGAGTACCTGACGGCCGAGATCCTGGAGCTGGCGGGCAACGCGGCCCGCGACAACAAGAAGACGCGCATCATCCCCCGCCACCTGCAGCTCGCCATCCGCAACGACGAGGAGCTCAACAAGCTGCTGGGCAAGGTGACCATCGCGCAGGGCGGGGTGCTGCCCAACATCCAGGCCGTGCTGCTGCCCAAGAAGACCGACAGCCACAAGGCGAAGGCCAAGTGAACACAAGGGAAAGGCGGCATGTTGTCTCTTCCGGAAAGAAATAATCCAAAGGCTCTTTTCAGAGCCACCCACAAACTCGTAAGAGAGCTCAGTTATCCATACTATAGTTGTGCCGGTTTATATGAATTACTCAACCCGTGTTTTATCTCATTTTCTCTACGTTTATTAACAGTATTTTTTGGCTTGGTGACAGTAGCAACTCTTTCCATGTTTTCGTTAACACAAAGTCGTGCCATAACGTCCTCCCAAAGCAACTTCTTCCCGGTGTGGGACGTTTTCCGTTTAGTTCTTATGCCAGAGACCACGGGAACGCTGTATTTCGGTGAGAGCTCCCGTTCTTCCCTACCCCCTCTTCCGCGTTTTGCTTCTCAGGGAGTGGCTGAAACAGCACCAGATATGAGGCGTAAATTATCTTCGGGGAAGGAGGGGAAGGGGCAGCGGGCCGGGCGCTCCGCTGGCCAATCCTTGTTCAGGGCGGGCTTTTTCAATACTTAAAAGCTCTTTCTCATCGGGAACAAAAGGAATGAATGGGAGAGCTCAGGGCTGTTTTCGGGTCAGTAGGAAACCGTCCCCTCTGCCCCCCAAATAGACAAAACCATTTAAGGAGATACTCAAGAGAAATAATACAATAGATTAGACATGGCTCAGTAGTAGCGTGCCTGACAATTGCATTAATTTTGTTACAAAATATATTCTTAAAAAAAAGTACACCCGTTTTTTTATCAAATCATTGCTATAAAACATTGCTTCCTGGTAGTGAAACCATTACTCGGCAGAAAGATTTAAAAAAAGTCTACACTTCCCTAAAGCCGCCGCGTTTTACTGTGCTCGTTAGCGTTTCTTTCGGTAATTGTAGGGGGAGGGAGAAAAAAGGGACACAATTGACTTCTGACGACTTACGAATTACTGGATCCTTGCTGCAAGCTACTGACGACCTCGGTGCCTCAGCTCCTTTAGGGAAGGTGTGGGTGGCTCTTAAAAGAGCCGTTGGATAACAAAGTATGTAGATCAAGACTCCTCTGTATAATTTACTTCTTCTTGGGCGCCGCCTTCTTTGCCTTGGCCGCTTTGGGCTTGGCCGCCTTGGGCTTGGCTGCTTTGGGCTTCACCGCCTTTGCCTTGGCCGGGCTCTTCGCTGCCTTCTTGGGGCGACCTGCCTTGGCCGCTTTTTTGGGACTCTTAGCCGCTTTCTTCGTCGTCGCGGCCGCCGGCTTTTTGGCTTTCTTAGGGCTCTTCTTCACCGCCGCCGCTTTTTTAGGCTTCTTGGCGGCGCTGGCAGGTTTCTTGGCCGCCGGCTTTTTGGGCTTGGCCGCGGCTGCTCGCTTCTTGGGAGCTTTTTCCTTCACTTCTCCAGGCTTCTTATTGAGGCGGAAAGAGCCAGAGGCGCCAGTGCCCTTGGTCTGCACCAGGGTGCCTTTGCTGACGAGGCTCTTAAGCCCCAGCTTGATGCGGCTGTTGTTC